CATGAATTACGATTTGCTTTCTTAAATGTGAATTGATGATGCTTATTGAGGAAAAGGAAAATGAAAGATTGTGTAGACTGATAATTGTATGATGGGGTTAGCCTGACTAGATATCCTGGGAGATGGTGGACGGACCGGGTCCGTAGGGAACCCTACCGGGATTGTGGTCTCACATGCCGGACGGGGTATGGAGATCTTATGGTTTTGGTGCCCATACCGGACGGGGTATGGGGACGGCCCGTTTCACCCTCATACCGGACGGGGTATTGAGGTTTATGGTTTTGGCGCCCATACCGGACGGGGTATGGGGACGGCCCGTTTCACCCTCATACCGGACGGGGTATTGAGGTTTATGGTTTTGGCGCCCATACCGGACGGGGTATAGGGACGGCCCTGGAAACTGATTATGAATGTTAAAGGTTAACGGGTAGCGGGACCCCTATGGACCCCCATGGATATTAGTAGGCTGGTAAATGAGAAAAGGATATGTTGTATAATGATTGAATTACAAAAGGCGTGATAAGTGCTATGTTTTACAGCTTATATTATTCCATGTTTGTGATAATGTTATTGTTTTCTTATATTGTTTCATGAATTCCACCGAGATAAGTGGATGATAAAGGTTTTATCATAAATAAAAGGATTTGTTGCAAATCATGCTCCATTGGTCTTTTGTGTTTTTCTACCCACCTTTACCTTCCTTGACGGTGAGATATCGTGATGTTCTTACTGGGTTAGTGTAGCTCACTCCTTATTTAACCATTTCAGATCAGGAAGACATGTTTCCCGAACCCGTTCCGCAGGAGGATGACGAAGGGGATGCCTAGAGACTCTGTAGTCATACTCATAGTTTTATTTTCGAGTTTCTCTCTTAGTTAGTTTAATCTTTTATACTTTAAGTACGTTTTTGGTTTTCGTGTAAGGGATGTTAACTGAAATTTTGTCTTCGCTTCCGCATTTAATAATTATAATATAATTTCCATTTTAAATTTCCGGGGCTGCTACAACTAATGAATCTTGCACATACTGAACCATACCCAACATTAATAAACCATTATACAAATCATCCAATCAAACCTTCAGGGATCATAACCGTATATTTATATTCTTAAGTTTTTATTATTTTTAATTTTACCTATCACAAAATCAGAAGTAATATTTTTAATATTTATACATAAAAATAAAATTTACACTTTAATTTAATGCATTAAGTCCTAATATATCTTTAACGTATCAGATTATTTTTAATCGGATCCAATTAATTTGATAATGTTTTATGCACAGTAATTTATACATATAAGCCAATATGATAAATTTAAAATTCAATAATTACTTTATTATCATTAATCTTAAATGACTCATAATTATGAGCTGATATATTAATTTTATACTATTTACTTGGTTGGTTCTTAATTTCAGTTACTTCTAATTTTTTAGTGAACTTATATATAAATATTATAGTAAAATTTGATTCATAATATTAAACAATCATAGTTTTAGAGTTTAACTGAATTAGTTTTGTAACACTCTCACCCTATTCACTTTCTTTTATTGAGTACAACTCGATTTCTTATCGTTTTAGAAGGAATATATAGACCTTCTATAATACTCTCTAAACCTCACAATCCATGACTTAAATAAAAATTCTCATTCTAATAGTTGGAGTTACTTAATAAATGTGGTCTATTTGTTGATTTTTTTACCTAGATAAATTATTATGAAAACATTTATTCTAAATATTTAAGTCAATAATACTAAAACTTTAGGATTTGATACTTATTGTTAATCCAACATGCTTATAGCAATTTAAGAGAGTTTTCAAATTTTTTATTTTTTAAAATAATTTAAGAGTTCAAAAATAAATTAGTTGTATAATAAAATATATCAAACTTCAAAATAAAATACAAACAATAATATATTAACACTATAAACACAATTTATAGGAGTTTCGCCCACCAACATGTGCTTACATATTCTCTTCAAGTTTCTTATTTGAGATTTTTTACTATCTTTAGCTACATTTACGTAAATTATTTTTAGATTTATTTACAATAATTTTGTTCATTATCTTCAACAAATATTTAATTTATTTGTAATATATTTTTTTATTCTATATAAATAAGTTTTTAAAATATTATATTTATAATTATTTTTTTTATCATAAATTTATCTCTTATATAATAAATATACATATCATATTCATAGTAAATATTTATTGGAATTTATTTTTTTAACGTAAGTATGGAGCAACCAGTCTAACTTTATGATTATAGCATAAGAAAGTAATACTACTTTATAGGTGCCTTAAAAAAAAAAAACTATTACGTAGGTGTATATAAAAAAATACTGTTTTATAGGTGCACATAAGAAAATATATCACTGTATGTAATATAACATATATATCTCCCAATCATATGTCTCTAATACTTTATTTTATTTATTTATTTATCTATTTTGAGTATACACCTAACTTTATTATAATCTTAATGCCGGCGACATATGGATAAATAATTATTTTTATTAAACTTAATTTTTTATTTTCGATTTTATGGTCAAATCAGAAAATATAAATAATTTCCATTCATTTCTCTTGAACGGCTGTAAATGTTTTCGATTTGCAGACTCCACCACTCAGCCGTAGCTTTATTGTCGGAGTTGCAGTTTAAATACTCTCTCTCTCTTACTTTTCTTTTTACAATTCCTATATACACTCACTAGCTTCTCATGGAAGTCAAATTCTGTGAAGTTGACTGATAAGCACTAAGTGCGCCAATTGTTATTCCGCGAATTTATGCGCGGAAAGTGTTTTCTGTTTTCTTCAATTGGGAATTTTTGAAACAAACAGTTTCGTTGTTTAGTTTCTTGTTTCTGAGATTGTGAGGGAAAGAAAGCATCGGAAAATGCTGAGATTTTCACAGTTCTGGACTAAGAAGACATTGATTGGCCTTGGTCTCGGCCAATTTCTCTCCCTTTTGATAACTTCTACCGGCTTTTCATCATCGGAACTCGCGAGAAAAGGTTTGTTTGTTTATGTATGTTTTATTTATTTGTATGCAGTTTATTTCTAACTCTGTTCAATTTGTAGCTTTTGTTAATTAGTGTGAAGACCTGCTTGTCCCTTAATCGGAATTTATTATTTATTTTTAACGGGTTGCTGGGTGGGGGTGTAGAGTAAGGCTAACAGAATATTAGGGACGCTTGTCTGCTTATGCTTTTATCATGTCATGGTTGTTTGGAGTTTCTCTATATAAACAAATATACATAATTTATCAGATGTTTTTACTTGTTAAAATGTAGTGGAGTAAAGTTCTCCTTGCTGCTTTTTTTCTGCTTACCTTTGCAATTGATTGAAAAAGAGGTGGAAAAGACAGACTAAAAAGAAGTTATATTCTTTTCCTGAGAATTGATAATGTTTTTCGAGAGGGGATGGTTCCAATTGATTGAAAAAGAGGTAGAAACGACAGAGACTGAAAAGAAGTGATATTCTTTACCTGAGAATTTATAATGTTTTCTGAGAGGGGATGGGATAGGGTAGGGACTTCATACATTAGCAGTCTGCGTGCTTAGCCAATAAATTTTTCCTTACTAGTTCTGTTCTGATTGTCGTCAGTTTGCTGCTAACAAACTTAATGGTTCATCTATTTTATTGTTTTCTTTAGGATTTAATGCACCAACATCACAGTCATTTCTAAATTATGTATTATTGGCAACTGTATATGGATCCACGATGCTCTATCAAAGGAAAGCACTTAAGGTGAATTTGTGTGTTTTAGAATTTCAGTTATTTTACCGATTTGCCGAATGTTTTATCTCATGAGTCTGCAATTGGTTTTTTTTTTTTTTTTTCTGTTTTCAACCTAATTTGTACGTTAGTGAATCATAATTTACCTCCTCTTGGAATTTCCGCAGGCAAAATGGTATTACTACGTCCTTTTGGCTTTGGTAGACGTGGAGGCGAATTTTCTTGGTGGGTCTTTTAGGTTAGGCATATATTTATCTGCAACTTATGTCTGTTTGCCTAAATTGTGATAGGTTTTCCATATGTTATTATTTATTTATTTTTCTTATCTTTATATTGATATGCACACTGAAGTTTGGGATCTGAGAAACTGCCTAATTTAAATGGTATCAAACTCTTGCTTGAAGCTTAATATCTTCGTGATTAGTCTTATGTTTTTGTGTCATAAAAATTTATCTGTTTTTTGACTGGTTTTTTGGCTTGTGGCAATATCTTTTTACTACAATTTACTTGTTCCATAACTTTTGTCTTTTATATTCGTTTTATTCTCTTAAAAAATATTTGACAATATCTGCGGATATTAATAATTTATTTTCTTTTCTTTTTTAGTGAGAGAATAAGGACATGTTATAGACAAGAAGGGGTGACTTTTAAAGGTTAGAAGTCAAAAGATTAATGAGGTTCACATTAAGGAAAGAGTGAACTTTAAGCCAAATACTGTAGGTTTTGAATCGATAAGTTTCTAATTCTATCACAAGGAAATGGTCGAACAAACTCTTCTATCCTTTTCTTTTCATATAAACCAGATAATGGCCAAAAGTAAGTTCAGGAGATTGAGGACTGATTCCTGCAATCTTCTAGCCTTTGGCCCCGAAAGAAGGAGATTGATGCTGGATTCCTTTTCACAAGGACATGTAGGCAACCATTGATTAGGATTCTTTCCCTTTTCTTCATGTTGTCTAGATAGAATTCTCTAATAATAAGAACAATAAGATTTTAAGAAAAAGATTGTAGTAAAAAGACCCTATTTAATACATTCTATTCTTTGAGAAGGACAAGATCAACCACTCAATCTCATCAAATGGCAGCTTGCTGAGAGTTAATAGAGCCTACAAACGAAGTACATAAATCTCCCAATAATTCAAATGCTTGGAGAGATGGATGATGTAATATCCGGATCTGAAGTTTGGTCCGAAATTAATTTTAAAATTTAAAAAATGTATAAAAATATAAATTTGAAATTAATAAATTTTTATTTAATATGAAATTAGAGAAAAAATAGGTTAAGAATGAAATTAAAAATAATTTTGGGTAAAAGGAGTGAAAATTTGGGTTCAGATGGTGTTTTTGAAAGAAAAATTGAAAATTAGAGGTTAAAACGCAATTAAAAAAAATTGCGTTACATAAGACCGCTCAGTCAGTAGCTTCGACAAACCGGAGCACGCCGCGTGGCAAGATACACTGACTCGGTGCCACGCGGGAGGTCATGCTGGCGATTCGCGTGCCCCACGATTGGATGACCCGGAAGCATTCCCGTGCACGTGGACAGTCTGGATCCGTTCCCTCATCAGGCGCGATCAGACAGTCGTGATTAAACGCGATGAACAGTTCAGATTCGTTCCCTCTTTAAATGCGATCGTACGGTCGAGATCAAATCGCGATGAACAGTTCAGATTCATTTTCTCTTTAAACGCGATCGGACGGTCGAGATCAAACGCAATGAACAATCTAAATTAATGCGATATAGTATAAATATCTCGTATCACACCGAACCCAAACCCTAACCGCCAGCTTTTCGCCGAAGAAGAAGAACCAATTGTTGGAGAAGGGAGCCGACCATCCGCCGCCGCGCCGGAACACCTCTGACCGCCAAAAAAGGTAAAAATTCTCCTCTCCGCTCGGAATTTGATCCTGAGCATCTCCATGGCTAAATCAGAGCAAAAAAAACAGCGGATGAGCCGGAAACTGCGGGTAAAGCTCGATGGCGCCGCCGCAGGCAAAATTCGAAACCACCATCGATGAGCCCTTTCTCGTTTTTCGTTTCCCGTTTCATGCGATTTTTTCACATTTGTGTTCACCGTTTTGTTTTTTACAAGTTGATCGAAAAAAATGTCCAGCTGTGAAGGTGAGCCGGCAGAGCCGCTGCACCAGAAAATTTTACTGCCGATAAGTTTTCGTTTTTGATTTTTTTTTGGCCAACCAATGCCTCCTAACGTGTTTTCTCGTAAGAGATGGGTATAAAACCGGCCAAAACTGGCTGAAAACGGCTAGGTCGAGGTAAATTTTAGGTATGTGAAACGTGTTTTAATCTTTATAAGAAAATTTAAGAAATTCGGGGACCACCAGTAGACGTAGAGTAGAAAGTTTGGTATTTCGGATATTGATTCGGGTAAGAATCTCTTACCTTATTCTCTGTTATGGAATTGAAGTTTAATAATCGATAATATGATATTTTATGTAAATTAGAAAACTTTAAGAATAATTACAGATCACTAATAGAGGCGAAACCAGTTAGTCATTAATTTGTTGTCTTGTGTAACTGATTGTTAAATTTACAGTTTTAAATACATGATGATATACTGAAATGGTTGAATGATTCAGTTGTGTTTTCTTAATATATATGTTGTCTGTCTTGCGTAATTTACTGTTGATTTGTAAAATTGAAAATTAATTTACAAACGGAAAATTATTTGATCATGTGTATTAATGAATGACAGCTTTATTGGATATCCTGAGATATGGTAGACGGACCAGGTAAATAAGAAACTCTACCGTTAACATTGTCTCATATCGGATGGGGTATTGAAGAATGATATTTTTGGCGCTCATACCGGACGAGGTATGGGGACGACCCAATTCACTCTCATACTGGACGAGATATTGAGAAATGATATTTTTGGTGCTCATACCGGATGGGGTATGGGGACGGCCGGTTGGTTGACAATGTTAGATATTGGTTCACACTTAGTGGGACATCCCTATTAGTTCACAGGGATATCAGTAGGCAAATAAAAAAGGAAGGTTATTGTTTTTACTCACTTGAATATGAGATTGGAATTTTATTTAAATTATTGTTTCTATAGGTCGATTTTGAAAATCTCGCAACGGTAAATATATGCAATAAATAGTTTTCCTTATGATAAATTAATTTACTTAAATCAAGAGGTCCATTGGTTGTTTTTATGATTTTTACCAATTTTCAATTTCTATATCGATGAGTAGCGTGATATTCTTACTGGGTTAGTGTAGCTCACATTTTCATTAATTATTTCAGATCAAGAGGATTAAGACTTAGATCCCGATCAACAAGAGACTTGTGAATAAGTTCATCATTCGGATTCCCTTCAAAAGTTAGTGAAAGTCTTCCTATAATGCTCAGTTATTTGTCTTTTGTTTATTTTTTTGATTTTCGTTTGTTCTTTTAAAAGGGATATTCCCCTATCCCTATTGGGCATTTTAAATTATTATATAGATAATGTAAATCCTAAACTCTATTATTTCGCTTGCGCATTTAATTTATAACTTTATTCTCTTTTAAATTCCAGACTTGTACAGTTAGTATTAGAGCCGCGTTACTCGAACCCATTTCTTATACAAAGACTTAAAAAAACCAAATACGAATTATCGTCCAACCCTTCATTTCAAAAATAAGTACAAAGACACGAGAAAATGAGGTCCCTTGCTGAACAGGACAGTCTGAGACAGGTCGGTTAGAGAGAATGTCGATCGGTTTTTCGAGATTTTAAAGAGACTCATCTCTGTCCAGTAGGTCAGGGAAGAGAGGAGGGAACTGTCTGACCCTCCACCACTTCCACACTATGAGCCACCCCTACAACGAGAGGATCTAACACCACCTCAATGCAACTCTACTCCTCTGTCGTATCATCCGACACCGTGACAATACAATTCGGAGCCCCCACCGTATCATCCGGTACCGTTACAGGGTCACCTGGTCCCTCCCCAGCAACATCTGGCCCCTCTTCTACAGGACTTGATTTCACCCATGATGGACTTGATAGAGATTGACGCGGGGGATCCTGATGTATTTCTAAGAATGAACTGGTTAGCGGCGTATCACGCCACCGTGGATTGTTTCCACGAGAAAAATTATATTTAAGCTTTTTAACGAAGAGTCATTTACAAACTAATAAAAATTTTGAATATTATTCTCTCATAGCAATTTCCTTATTATATAGCGGTTTAGCTCGGTTGTTTTTTCTACATTGGAAAAACTTAAGGAAAAAAAAATTGTTTTCTCTACACAAGGGCGAGTGGGATGATCATTTACCCTTAATAGAGTTCGCCTACAATAACAGCTACCAAGCAAGTATCAGCATGGCTCTGTACGAGATGTTATATAGCCGCTCATGCAGATCACCGATCTCTTGGGAAGATGTGGGTGATATAAAATTGCTCGGCTCAGAAGTTGTGGAGGAAACTATAGCCAAAATAGTTAAAATCAGAAAGAACATCCAGACGGTTCAGAGCAGGCAGAAGAGCTATGCGGACACCTAGAGGAGGGATTTGGAGTTTGAGAAAGGTGATCGAGTGTTTCTTAAGGTCACTCATTTCAAGAAAATCAGTCGGTTTGGTAAGAGGGGAAAACTAAATCCCCGATTTATTAGGTCATTTGAAATCTTAGATAGAATTAGTACCGCCGCCTATAGACTGGTACTACCTCTAGAACTATGTAGGGTCCATAATGTGTTTCATGTGTTTATGCTACACAAGTACATGGGGAGGTACCGGTGGGCATTGTGGACCGAAAGAGCAGAGTACTCCGTAATTGGAAAATTCTCTTTATTAGGGTTTTATGGCAGAATCACACAGAGAGAGGCCACATGGGAGGTAGAATTAGATTTCAGAATTCAGTATCCCCAACTGTTTGATTGAGTGAGAGGGAGACAAATTTAAGGGACCAAATTTCTTTTAAGAGATGAGAGTTCTAATACTCGGGTCCCGAGTCTGACCTGGAATTAATTTTAAAATTTAAAAAATATATAAAAATATAATTTTGAAATTAATAAATTTTTGTTTAACGTAAAATTAGGAAAAAAATAGGTTGAGCATGAAATTGAAAACAATTTTAGAAAAAAAAGATAAAAATTTGGGTTCGAATGGTGTTTTTGATAGAAAAATCAGAAACTAGGGGTTAAAATGCAATTAAGAAAAATTGCGCCACATAGGACCACCCAGTCAACAGTTCCGATGAATCGGAGCGCGCCGCGTGGCAAGGCACGCTGACTCGGTGCCACCTGGGAGGTCACGCTGGCGATCCGCGTGCCTCACGATCGGACGGCCCGGAAGTGTTCCTGCGCGCGTGGACGATCTGGATCCGTTCCCTCCTTAGGGCGATCGGACGGTCGCGATTAATACGATGAATGACCCAGATTCGTTCTCTCTTTAAACACGATCATACGATCGAGATCAAATCGCGATTAACGGTTCAGATTATTTTCTCTTTAAATGCGATTGGACAGTTGAGATCAAACGCGATGAACGGTCAAGATTAACGGGAGACGGGTATAAATATCTCGCATCACACCGAACCCAAACCTTAATCGCCAGCCTCTTGCTAGAGAAGAAGAACCAGTCGCTGAAGAAGGGAGCCCACCGCCGCATGCCGCCGCTCCGGAGGCACCCCCGACAGCCAAAAAGGTAAACATTCTCCAAATTCCGAGCACCACCATGGCCAAATCGGAGTAAAAGGAACGGTGGATGATTCGAAAACCGTGGGCAAAGTCCGGTGGTGCCGCGGCAGACAAAACTCGAAACCGCCTCCGATGAGCCCCTTTCCGTTTCCCATTTCGTGCGATTTTTTCACCATTGTGTTCACCATTTTGTTTTTTATAGGTTGACCGAAAAAAAACACTCAGCCGCGAATGTGAGTTGGCGGAACCGCCGCACCAGAAAATCCCGCTGCCGGTAGATTTTCGTTTTGTGACTTTTTTCGGCTAACTGAGGTCCTCTAACGTGTTTTCTCGTAGGAATGGGTATAAAACCGGCTGAAATCGGCCAAAATTAGCTGAAAACTGCCAAGCCGAGGCAAAACACTGCTTTGGCCAGCGATGCCGCCGTGCCAGAATTCCGAAATTGGCTGGAAAAGGTTTTTAACACTGATTATAGGTTTTTTGAGGTATTTTTAGGTATGTAAAGCGTGTTTTAATTTTCGCAAGATTCGGAAAAACCGGGGACCGCCAGTAGGCGCAGTAGAAAGTTTGGTGTTTCGAACATCGATTTGGGTAATAATTCTCCACCTTATTCTTTGTTATGGAATTGAACCTTAATAATCGATAATATGGTATTTTGTGTAAATTAGAAAACTTTAAAAATAATTACAGATCACTAATGGAGTCGAAACCATTTAGTCATTTACTTGTTGTCCTGTGTAATTAATTATTAAATTTACAGTTTTAAATACATGATGATATATTGGAATGGTTGAATGATTCAGTTGTGCTTTCTTGATATATATGTTGCTTGTCTTGCGTAATTTACGGTTGATTTGTGAAATTGAAAATTAATATGCAAACGAGAAATTTTTTGGTCATGTAAATTAATGAATGACAGCCTTACTGGATATCCTGAGAGATGGTGGACAAATCGGATACATAGGGAACCCTACCATGAACGTTGCCTCATACTGGACGGGGTATCGAGAAATGATATTTTTGGTCCTCATACCGGACGTGGTATGGGGACGGCTCAATTCACCCTCATACGGGATAGGGTATTGAGGGATGATATTTTTGGCGCTCATACTGGATGGGGTATGGAGACGACTGGTTGATTGACAATGTTAGATATTGGTTCACGCATAGTGGGACATTCTTATTGGCTCTCAGGGATACGAGTAGGCAAATAAAAAGTGAAAGTTATCGTTCTTACTCACTTGAATATAATATTGAAATGTTATTTGGGTTATTGTCTCTATAGGTCGATTTTAGAAATCTCGCAACGGTAAATATACGCAATAAATGATTTTCCTTATGAGAAATGAATTTACTTAAATCAAAAACTCAATTGGTTGTTTTTGTGATTTTTACTAACTTTCAATTTCTGTATTGGTGAGTAGCGTGATATTCTTACTGTGATAGTGTAACTTATCATTTCATTAATTATTTCAAATTAAGAGAATCAAAACCTAAATCCCGATCAACAAGAGGGTTGTGAATAAGTTCACCACTCAGATTTCCTTCATAAGTTAGTGAAGGTCGTCATAAAATGTTTAGTTATTTGCCTTTTGTTTATTTCTTTAATTTTTGTTTGTTTTTTTAAAAATAACATTCTCGTAATTCTATTGGGCATTTTAAATTATTGTTAAGAAATGTAAACTTTAAAATTTATTATTTCTCTTTTACATTTAATTTATGAGTTTATTCCCTTTTAAGTTTTAGGTCTTTACGGATGATCTAACATTGGTTTACTAAAGGACATGCTTCCCAATAATCAGTTACCAGCTCTGCTTTATCTCTTGCAAGATCAAAGATACCCATAAATTGGACTCTCACCACATCAACAATCTCCCATAAGTCCTTGGAAGCACTATATTCACCAAAAAGTTTCTTATCTATCTAGTCCATCTCCATAGGCTAGTACCATAAGCTTCTATCTTTTCTCAATATCCAACCTTTATAAGCTAGGCAGTCTTTAGCATGAGTGACCTCCCTTAAGAGATATCTCTGCAAATCATGAGCTTCAGTAGCCATTTGGCTAACAAAGAATTGTTTAGATTTTTCAAAGATATAGAGGCCTTGAGTCAGAAAGGTTACTTCACGGACAACTTATCAAATGATACCTTCTTTACCCATTGGAATTTCTCTCTTAAGAACTGACATTGGATTCTAACTGCTCTATTACTTTGCTTGGGATGGGAAAGAGGGATAGAAAACCAATTGAAAGAGTGCTTTTGATGAGGGTGAGTTTACCACCATTTGATAAATCATTCCTCTTCTAGATAACCAACATTTCTTCTATCGTTTAAAGTAGGAGTTTTCTTTGATACAGAACCAAATAGGACCAGACTGGAATACTTTTTTCAGACACTATCCAGACCGCTCATATTAACTTTGGTCCATAACAGACCAAATGGGTTTAGATCACTCTGATCCAGTTCGAACCAAATTGGATCGGATCTCTGTTTAAATTTAAATACAAACACATGAACAATTTATTTATTCGTAAACTTAATAAAATCAGTCATTCCTATAAAATAAACATGATATTGAAATTATCTCAATCAAGTAATAAAATTATGTATAGTTTCTTTTATATTACACTTAAAATTAAGATGATCTCAAATTATATATAAACCCAATCTGTTTTAATCAATCATTTAATTCTGATTTATGTTAGTTCAAAATAAATCAACTACATAAACACAATTATATTTGTTCAATGATGGTTTCGTGTATTCATAATTATCATAATCTGAAATATTTATAATAAAGTAATCCATAACATTTATCTATTATTATTATTTTTTAAATTAAGATCTTTCTATTTGATGAGGACCAGACAGCACAGAAAATTTTCAGTCTTCCCGAACTCAGACCAAAGAACAGACTGAACACTGTTTGGTTAGTCCATTTTGGTCTCTCTAGTCCAGTCTAGTCCAATTTTTGGGTCGGATCGAATTATGGACACTCTATTCAATTGATAGCATCCTACATAATTATAGTCTTTGAATTTTATGCTTAGCGGCAAGCCAAAATATCTCAAATTAAGAGAGCTAGATTTCTTAAGATACTTCGGTAGATAACTTCCAGGTCCTGAAACTATCGGGTGCCCATTTTGTATGATTGCAAGTTGCTGCTGGACAAAACAAAACAATTTATATTAAAGGAATGAATTTTAGATGTATGAAAGAAAACAAATTATTCTTAAATGTTGGACATTCAGTCGGTAATCATCCAGTGGATGAATGTTCCACATTATTTGATTGCAAAGAATACCTATCAGGAAACTTATGATGAATTTTTTTTTTGTGAGAGAAGTTTTACTTTTTCCTGTCTCCTATTGTTGTTATTCCTTTTCCTTTATGATGAACTTTGAATTCGAAAGAGAAATATGTTTTCTGGAAGAATACAAATGATTTCTTATTTCCATGAATTGATCTGGTCTCCTTTACTTGAACCAGTGGTGAAAGCTTATCAATACACATCTATAACAAGCGTCATGCTGTTGGACTGCTGGTCAATCCCAGCTGTGATGCTTCTTACATGGCTTTTCCTACACACGAGATACAGATTCAAAAAGATAGCTGGTGTACTTGTTTGTATCACCGGCCTTGTCGTGGTTGTTTTCTCAGATGTTCATGCAGGGGACCGAGCAGGTAATTGATGTAATGTGGCCAGAGTTTGGACTAAGTCCAAGTAAAGATTATTCTTTCTGAAGTTTTTTTGTAAAGGACATTGCACTTAAGGTATTTCACGTAAGATGGTGATCTCCTCATTAGTGAGAATATTTTCTTAATTAAGGGGTTATATTTGTTTACAAAAAATCTTCTATCCCAAATTGGTTAGTTAAGAGAATTTTCTTACTTGTAAGGAGAGACCACTCTCCTTCTCAAGTAAGACTTATTTTACATAATAAAACTCTGATAAGATAATAATTCACTTAGACTTGGCTGAAACTCTCGTTGCATCAGTGTGAGTTTTAATTCTAGTTTGCAAAAACTTTATCCTGATTTCACGAATACTTTGCTGGTGTAACAGCGAAGCAGCTAATACGTGTATGCATCATTGTGTTAGATTATGGTGACAATTTCTAACATTATATATGCTTTGATTGCTTGCAGGAGGGAGCAATCCTCGTAAAGGGGATTTGCTTGTTATAGCTGGTGCAACATTATATGCCATTAGTAATGTCAGTGAGGTAAGCAGATTAAGATTCTTTTGAATTGCTGGAAGTGGTAAATTTGCTTTGTTGTGCCAAAGCATGTTTCTACTTGATGTTCATTCTATGTTGATCCTGAATTGATATTCATTTGTTTAACATGATATTTCTCATTCTCATCTATTTCACTGCATGTAATGGGATATAAGGGAAGATCAATTTCAGTGGCTGGGAGCTGGTGTCTTTTAGCTGGGTTCTGCTTACTTAGAAAACTTTCAGTCATAACCTTACAGGAAATCACTCTCTATTGCATTTTGACTGCTGATATATCTAAACTGATATTATCTAATCTTGTCTTAACTTTCCAATGAAACAATTTAAACAGATATTACTGGCTTCTAGACTAGTTATATGCAACTATTCCTAAAGAGTTTGATAATTTATTTCTGTACTATTTAAATGAAATAAGCTGCTTGCATTTTTAGTTTTTGTTTGAGAATAGTGGGAGAATGCATAAATTAGAATATGTGGCATGTGTCTTAGTAAGAATTAAGTAATTTGATGTAGCTGGTTTTATGTAGGCTTTCTCACAGAATTTAATAGAAACTTCTCAAAAACTTGCACTAGCTTGTAGAGGAGACAGGAACAACACCAATAGAAACAGAATTGCTTATCGCAGAAACCGTAAGCAAGAATATATGGAAAACTTTGGAAAAGAGAAAAATGAGTTGGAGAAGAATTTGTTTGTTGAGCTGACAACGTAGGTTTTCAGAATTAGGCAAGATGGTGCATAAAAGGATTTGAAGCTGGTAATAACACTAGTTAAATGCAAACACTCCACCATTGTTCAATGCCAATGGCTAGCAAGGCTGATATCAATAGGTTACATGCTATTACATGTCTTTTCCTTTTTTTTTTTTTTTTTTTTTTTTTTTCTAATTTGGCTTTGGAAATATGTTTTACATAATAACAGTTTTCTGTGTCAAATTTTGAAGTGTTCCCCTTATTTTCTGGCTATCATATTTGCACCCACCATTTTTTTTCTTTCCATTTGTTTGCAGGAGTATCTTGTGAAGAATGCTGACAGAGTGGAACTGATGTCATTCTTGGGTCTTTTTGGTGCCATTATTAGCGCAATTCAAATGTATCCTTGATCTAAGAGATATCATTAAGGTTATTTCTTGTGTTGATGAAGAATATGCTTTTAAAATTACTGGTTGAATATTCCTTCACATGTATAACTATTAACAGAGTCATCTCTCTCTCTCTCTCTCTCTCTCTCTGTCTGTCTCATTCACACAGACCAAACATGTTTGTGTGCATGTCTCTGTATATGTGTGCATGTTGTTTTATGTGTTATACTACATCTCGATATCCCTATCTGGGGCCTTTATGTAATTGCATTCCAACTGGTTTAAGATATGAATACCTTGATGTTTCCATAGAAGCATACTTGAACGCAATGAGCTCAAGTCTATTCACTGGTCAGCTGGGGCTGTAAGTTTCTGGCCTAAACTCCCTTTTTCTCTATCTCCACATGTGTGTATGCGTTAATGTGGGACACCCATTACTTTGAACTACTTTAAAATTGCTAGAGGCATTAAAATATAAGGACTGATTAGGGAAGAAGGTTGTCCATGTTCTGCCTTTAAACCAATTTCTGCTTCTAATTTTAATATTTCTTAATGAAGTTCTTATTAAAAAAGTTCATGTTGGTAGTCAGCAAATTTAGGACGAGTGAATATTACAGCTTTTTCCCTTAGCTACCATGGAAAAGTTGGTAGGGATATGCATGTTGGCTTATATTTTTACATAACTTTTGATAACTTCAGTAGTTTGGAAAATAGTTTGAACATTTTTACAAGAATTACAACATTAACGCAGATTCCTTTAAGAAGCTTAACTATGTTGCTAGATCAACTCTAACTGCCAGGTTGGACTTGATTCCGTCAATTTCATGATTTCAAGTGTTTTTTCTTTAAAAAAAGCAGGAATGTAATGGTAGTTTCTTTTATAAATTCATGAAGGCTTTTACAAATCACATTATTTATTGTGGATAAATATGTTACTTCTAGCACAGATAAATGTTTTAGTTTAACTACAGTTCTGTTTTTTTGGGAAAAAAATGATTTTGCATTTATATTTGGTTTAAAATAATTTCATAACTAAATTGCACTGGAGCAATGGAATTTTGACTACTCTCCTCTGAAGTAGAAAATATATTCTTTCCCATGTCACCAACATGCATAAGTCACAAATGTTTTCATTTGGATCTAGCATCTCAAATGTTATGGGCAACTTGTGGCCTGTGAACGAGTAAGGTGATCAATAAAACATAGTGAAAGCCTTAATCAAATTTGTTTAAAATGTTACATTTGATTGTCACCAACGTGTGCCTTCCCCATGGCCATTTGAGCTGAGAAGATGGGCATGATTATATGTTCACAAATTGTTTGTTTTCGAATGCCTCTTTGGTCCTAACATTGCTGTTTGAGAAACTGAGATTGACCTTTTTCTCAAATAGTTTTTTTTTACTTGAGATGGTTTTTTGTTTCAGGCGGTCCCCTTCTTTGGATTTGCAGTGGCTATGTTTCTGTTTTATTCATTTGTCCCAGTCTTGCTTCAGGTAAAGCTATAAACTTTTAGGAGCTCAGGTTTCTGAGTAGTTTAGCTTCTCTTATTTAATCTACAGACTTTTTCATTCTCCATTATGAGAAGGAAAGACTGGCGGATATCGTTTGTTCTTATAATGAATTTAACGCCCATTTTGCTATATATGATGTAGAAACCTTGAGGCTTGGTAGGAATTTGTGTGAGATCCTTGTATTAGAGAAACTTATCATTTTTCTGTTTGCTCAAAGTATTCTGTTAGTCAGCCTTTTGAGAACATTTGATGCAGATCAAGACAGTTCTCTAAACATGTTTAGCCATAGGATACCATGTAAGAACTCATCTGACTGAATAGCTGGAAACTCTCCATCTGAAGTATAAACCATCGATGCTGGTCATCCACCACGATACAACCAAAAGCAAGCCTCTACTTCAATTAGATTAGCTTTGCTGCTGGTTGCATGTGTCCCCATATCTGGTGCTAATGGTGGTGACAAATCCTTCCATTTATAACACCCATGAAAAAGCTAGAGAGATCTTACTGTTGTGGTTTGGCTCCCATTATAAGTGAAGAAAAAATGAAAAGAGGATGATTGTTTTCTGTGGGAAAAGAAAATGGGTGTAAATGATAATGTTGGTTACTAGAAGGTGAGAGAATGGAATTAGTTAGGTGAAAATTGACAGCGGCAGTTGAAAGAGTGAGAAATATGAAAGTGTGTCTTTGCTGCCTCTATAAATAGAGGATAAGAGATCGAGGAGTGTGTGCTCATGCTAGAAAAGCACTAAAATTTTATGTACCCAAAATAAAGGACATCAAGAAAGATGAGTATTCGGTATAGAGGCTTTAAAAACGAAAGGAATGCCTAAAGAAATGAGTGCCAGGGATCTTAGAAGAGTGGCATCAAAGGGAGGTACTGAAACATGTGTAAAAAAAATTCAGTATGAGAGAAACTAATGGGAGAACTATGAGGTGAAAAATGATAATTTCTTATAATGTCAGAGATTGAGGGGTGTGCCAAGATTAAAGGGGTTTTGATAGTGAATTTCTACATGCTTCTTTTAATAAAAAAACAAGATATATTAATTGGAAGAAGTGAGATACATACAGAGAGGATTAGGTAATCTCCAAAACACATAACTAATGACGGAGAGAGGCTACTGACCACAAGAAAGAATAAAACAAATTAAAAAAAACCCTTAAAATGTCCATTAGCTTTGGGCCAAACAGAGGCCAAAAAACAAACTTTATTCGGAAGAATCAGAGAAGATGATTTATAATTCTTAAAGATTCTAGCATTGCATTCCAACCAGATGATCCACATATTAGAGAATACAGCCGCACGCTAAAGAGATAACACCCCCTCTTTATCCTTGGGCCCAACAATAACAAAGGGAGAACCTTTTTGCATTTTGAGGTAAAACTAGGGAACGCTGGAAGTCTTGAAACCAGGGCTCCAGAGATTTTCTAACTTTCTACATGTTATCTCATTGCAATTGTTGTCTATAAAATAAGTGGATATATTTTCTCCTTCGCTGGATATCTTATCCACTGTACTTTCTGTAATGTTCACTCATTTCTTTCATAATACTTCTTTTTCTATTTTTTTAAAAAATAATGGATATTCATGTGGAGATAGGTCAAATGGACTCTACATTAATTTTGTGATTCTTGCTTCCACCTTTTATTTTATTATTTACGGTGTGAAAATATTCCCAGAACTTGCACCTGCTCCCAAATGAAGCTTTATTACTTGATTAAGACCCTCAGAAGCTGATTAGTACACTAGAAAATATCTCTTTCCTACTCTTCCAGTCCTTGCGTTCCATTCAGCAACACACTCCTGTCAACCTTTGACCAAAGGTTTTGACCAAAGGTTGAAATGCAAATCTGATGAGCCATTTCTCTCTAACAATCCTAATTTGACTAAACAATTAAGTGAAAGATAACTGGATTTGTTTGAGGTTAAATATGGAAGAGACGAGAGGCTGGGTTGGTGAGTTTATGGCCTTAGATATTTAATGAATATAAGTATTTCTAAAATAGATTTAATTTCATCAGCATGTATATATCTGCTACTTCCATAACTTTATGATTTCTAAAGTCATGATTGTCATTATAATTGCAAACTACAAATATTTTTACTTTCTGGTTTCTGAATTTAAACCTTTCTTTCGTAAGTATTTGATCATTTTGGTTAAGATTGTAAACATTGTTATGACTCTCGTTGCTTATTTTCATGTTTACACGCATCCAATCAAGCTGCTCTCATGTTAATAGCCTATATGTAGTTGATTTGTCTGTATTTGTTTTAAATATTAGAATCTTGCAGAATTTTGTTTTTTTTTTCAACTTAGGGACAATATGTTGAATACTTGAGATAGTAGTGAAAGTAGGGTGCATAGTGTAGAAATGGTAAAAACTTGTTAGACAATTCATGGATCTTGCTTTGTATATTTATCATATAATCTGAATATTTTGCCCTCTAGGCTGCTTGTTTCTGAATTTGTTTTTATCTTTTCAGATTAATGGAGCGACAATGCTGAACCTCTCTTTGCTGACATCAGATATGTGGGCTGTTCTGATTCGCATATTTGCGTATCACGAGAAGGTTGGTAGTAATTTTTGTCCGCATGTTTCACTAAAATATTAAGATGTAATTGAAATTGGAATCTGAGAGAGTGAGGAGTTATCTTATTGATACCAATTCTCTCTTTAGGTTGATTGGATGTACTTTGTGGCCTTTGCTGCTGTTGCTGTTGGATTAGTCATTTACTCAGGGTATCCATTCTTTGTTCAAAATTATCTTTTGTGCACATTCTCTAGTTACGTTCAAATCAATAACATAGATGTGAATTAATTGATTTGTTATAGTGAATGTGAGGTTAAGAAACTTGTGTTTGTTAACATTAACACTGCAGGGGTGAGAGAGGCGAGGATGAACAGCGCAGTTATGTCGTTGGGGATGAGGAAGATGCAGAAGCAAGCAAGCATTTTGAGGAGGCAGCTTCTGGTTCTGCGAATCATAATCAAGGAGCTGGGACTAGCAGCAAAGTATAACAATTGTTATATCATGATCATCAACAAAGGAATTGTAAATGGGTGGTTTTGATTCTCTTTAACTTATGCTCTTTAGCATTTGCAACAATTACATATACTTGGGATGCGGCTCTGCTGAATTTTGGTGCAAAAACAAGCCTCTTTCTTTATTGAGTTACCAGTGCTAGATAGCTACATTAAAATTTTTAATTTCCTACATATTTGTCAATTGAGACACAATTAAACATTGAGTTACTGTGCTGGAAAGCTAATTTTGAGCTTCCTATGCTTATTGAACTGATTGGTGTTGGTAAAATAAAAAAAAAACATCAACTCTCAAAATAAGAACTAAGAAGGATGCAGATTCCTATTTCTTTTTCTCTGACTTGTGATTTTCTTTCTATGTGAGCGAGGGAACAACAGCTGCTCAATTTGTTTTCCAGCTGCAACTTCTGATGTAGCCTGCAAATGGAAGTACACTACAACGGTCAGATTCTAAAGGACATCCCAATTATCACAATGTTTCACTTCAGATTCTCAATAACATTGTAACACTAAAAACATAGTAATCATTTAATGCCACTTGCATGTCTTGCAATATGAGTACATCCATATTTGCATAAGAAGATAATACTTCAAAGAAAACAGTAAAAGTTCCATTTAATCAGTTGACCGTCAGTTTTTTTTGTAAAATAATATGAGGACAATAACAATAGTAATAAATATAACATCAATAAGGTGGGAAATATCTCCATGTCAAATGCATTACTAACTGTTGTAGCATGGGATCCTACTTTTCACTTTTTAACTGCCTCCTCTATCATCTCTTACCCGGACTTTGAAGGGAAATCGATGCGTTTGTAATTCAGACCCGTAGCGAACTCTAACATCCATTCCAAGACTATCAACTCCAACTAAATTAGCTTCCTACGTACATGAAAAAACAAGTGTCAAAGGGTTCACGATGTTGCCAAAATGAATTATGGGGCATAACTGTAGCTATCAACTCAAGTCTCTGTGTCCTAAATTGCACATTATGATACATAAACTTTGCAAGTTTCCGTAGCTTTGCCTCTAAGTAAAAAGATTTCATGAAAAGACTTATATGAAGCAATCAAGAACTTAGATGAAGATATTGATGAATATCTGTCACATCACAACCCATAAATTTTGCAAGTTTCTATAGCTTTGCCATTAGGTAAAAAGACATCATCCCAAGACTTAATGAAGCAATCAAGGATTACATCTTTTTGTTGTCAGTGATGGGTTGCACTTCTCTTCCATGTTTTCCGGATGTGCAATTCTTTCACAAGCATTGGATCAGAAAATCTATGCTAGTTTTCAATATTAACCGCTTGAACATCTAACAAGGATAGAACTTTTCTATGTTGACTTATGCCCACTGTGGAGGATGTACTATTACCTTTTTTATAAAAAATATACAGAAAATGACTAAATTATTAAGAAAAAAGAGAACAGAAAGCTTGAGACAATGTATCCTCTTACAATAAGGAACAAAACAAAGCAAGGAAAAAAAGAGGAAAATGTAGCTGATTTTATAATAAGACAGCCCCCCCAATTTCTTTGCACAACAAATAAAACCCAAAAAGAACCACCGAAATGATGTAATGTTCTTGACAGAAAAAAATTCAAATGCTTTTATAATCCCTCAAAATCTTAGTAAAAAACTTATACAAGGACATGCTGCCAAGTTTGATTCTACCAGTTAACAATGATATAAGCAAATGGGACAATGAAAATGCATGTAAAGCAGTTCTAAGCATAAACAGGAAAACAGGTCTTATTCCCATATAAAAGGAAAAGAAAAATACACGACTTGCCAAGTACAAACAGATGTATATCTCATGAAGCATACACTAATAGTTGCCATTATAAACAATGATATCTTATTCCATACAGCTACTCCTAATTAACGTCTTCTCAACAGGGAAAAAAAATTTCTCTAAGTAAAGACAGGAAATTTATAGGAAGATTTACAACAATATTCCATTTAAAAATAATTATAAAATGGACCTCTTGTTTTATTTTATTAAAAAAATACCTTTTCAATCAGTAATCTATTAACTAACATTAAAAAAAACTGATAATCTTGTAATTATGTTGAAATAACTTTCACAGTGTCATGATTGTTACATTGTCAAGTTCTTGACATACAATTAACGGAATACTGATATAGAGAGTACTACTGTAATAAAATAAAAGGAAGAGATTATTTCTGTAGTTATGCTTAAGTCAAAAAGAAATCTTGCTGGTTATGCAAAATTTATAAAAGTAAATCTGTATCTACTATGTAAACTTCTTTTGTATTTCAAATAATCAAGGATATGATTTTTTTGAAATAAATAATCAAGGATATGATGAATAAAGAAAAAAACTGAATCGCCAATTTGTCTCAAGGGCCATAAAAAGACTAACAGTTACAAGCAAGATAGAAAGTAGAACTTATGGAAGCATCTGAAATAATACTATTAACTTCAGGTTATCAAGGGAAAAAAGCATGTGGGGAACTGTTATGATATTTCTCTTTTATTTTCCTTTTTTTACCTCCACAAGAAGACCTTTCTTTTTGCAAAGAGCTTTAAGAGAGATGTTGCACAAAATCCCCCTCTGACTTAAGTTCTCTACAATGGCTGATATAGAGTGTACTAGAGCATCAGGCTCAGCATCTTGAAAATCTTGCAAGCTAATTGATGACTGCAAACATTCAAAGAAATGTAGAGTAACCATCTAGGTTGATGACTCTTAGAAGAAAAATGACAGCAAAAGAAACTGGATACAGATTCAAACCCAATTCTCCTAACAATCATAGACGGACGAGGTCATATCCTAGTTAAATCCCAATTTACGACCTAGCCAGGATATACAGGGTAACTAAAAAATGCATCTGCAAGGAAACTAGAATGAAAATTACATCCAAACTAGCTAAGAGGCACGACAACATTTCATGGAGACAGTTAAGGCCTCCTATTATGTCAAATTTAGCAACTCTATCCTGGGATTGTGCTTGCTTCCATTGGATCCCATTTCCTTAGAATATAGGAACTAAGTACCTTCTTAGCCTCAACCTTAGATTCCCAAACTACGTGCATATAAATATAACAATTAGTGATATATGTACGTGACACCTAAATAATACATGCACCTAAAATTGATGATACATTTATGTAACCTTCCACTGATACATGAATGTAAATAACCTTTTCAATGGTACATGCAACTAGATGATATTAGCATGCATCAATGCAAGTATGCATGTACTTAAATGCTGATTCATAGATTTAGAAAACACCAAAAGCAATAATCCATTATTATTACTTAAATCAAATTCGATAATCTGCCGCTTGATTTAAATTATCTTAGCATATAAGTTTGTTGGGCATCTAAGAATAAATGTAAATCAGTAAAGCTACCTCCAGGTTTTGAACCTTTACACAAAAAACACATCAAAATATTATAGAGTAAGTCAGAATCCTTGAACTTAAGAGTCATGAAGGAATGAGCAAAATGGCTTAAGTCTAAATTGTCAAAACAGATCAAAATTAGAGTCTATTTACGCAATCTAGACTCAAGTCATTTAACATCAAGGAATTAAGTAAACAGACCTTTAGATAAGTCAATTCATCTTAAGTGGACAGCCCTTGAACTCAGAAACTCATTTGACTATGTTAAAGAATCTACTTTATGTATAATTAGAACTAAACTAGGTTAAAGAGTATCATAGTAAAATACACCATTTGTAAGTAATCGTAACTTTCCTTTCTTATTTCCTAGAACTTTTATATATAGGAATATATTATTCAGTAAAATACACAACATATTGTTTTGACATCCTATTGGGACCATAAGTCAAGAAACCTTAAACTCATGTAAAAAGCCTCTTCAACTTTCATTGCTAAAATAAATTTTAAAAAAAAATTCTAAACAAACGCTAGTCTTCATAGCCTGCCACCACAGCTGCCATCATGACCACCAGCCTTGATATTATAAAGACAGAAAATCAGCAAGCCAAAGGACTATCGTCAGTCGAAAGATCTTCCCAAAACAAGATACGTGATCCATCAATTTAAGACAGCTAAGAGATCAAGAGATCATAAAGACAAGAATGGCATGCCATGGATTTTTGTGACATTGGAATGTCTGGTGATAAATCCCACCCATTCTTATATATACCATGAATGCCCTTAATCACACTGTCCAACGAAGAAAAAGGTTCCAATGGAAAATGACAAAGTCATTTCACCAACACAAACACACTTTTAGAAACTGGATTCACAATCCTCAAGCCACCATCTTTTTTAGAGAAAGAATGACCCAGTTCAGCTCCCTCTCCTCTTCCCTTGGCCCCAAGTATGTACCAAGCAAGTCAGACTAAGATTTAAAAAAAAAAAATCGAGGGATAGTTTAATTTTACATGCCTGATCTCCATACACAGAGAATAGCTCGATTCTCATGATTGCCAATCTGTAAAGACTTGAACTCACGTTGCTTCCATCAGTGCTGGAACTAAAGCTCAAAATTTCACCATCTAAACAAAGAAAATTGAACAAACAAGTTAACTGAAAAGTTCCACAATAAGTAATATAGCAAACAACTGATACTTGAAATATTCAGAATAAAATAAAAAACAATCTTTCTCCAAAATACAATTGACATGCACCAATCATGATCAGAATGGTATTCACCAGTGTGATACACTAAATAATTAATAATCCAGGAAAACCTACACCAAGTATATAAAAGCTGTTCAGATGTGCAAGTGCATGGCTTGACCTCCCCTCCTTGTCGCTTAGAAGTGAAAATTAGTGAAGTTCAATTATTCAATAGTGAGGTGCTCATTAACAGGCAAGGAAGTAACACTCTTGGATCCTGTGCCAACGGAAATTCTATTCCCAGAATCTATTATAGATATGATGGGTTTCTGTAAACAGGAAAAAATCTAGAAACAGCATAGATATGCAATTCAAAATGTCAGAAATCAAGTGGAAGGTTTGAACAGTTGTACAGATCCTGGATCACGACAACCACTTTAAGCCAAGTCCTAAGCAAAAATCCCATCCTCCTCCAGTGACTGGAAACACGCATGTGGACCCCACATGCCATAACCCTTGGGTGCACATCACATAAACATGCTCTTTTTAACTTTTTGGATCAGTTTACCAGATCAATTCCCTTTGGCTGTTCCCGCTTCAATCAAACCAGTTCAGCACTAATCCAAATGATCTCGATTTTTTTTTCTTTTCCTCTTTAGATTGCAAATTCCAGCTCTTAAATGCTCAACTAATGCTAACATGCATATGAAGCAGCCAGTAGTACCAAATTAAAAACAATGCAAATCAGATCTAATGTGATTTTGAAAGAACTGAAACACTTCTCACTACGCAAGTAGGCACACCATTTCAAAACCTACAATTTGTACAAGCTACTACTACTAATGTGAGAAAATTAAAGATAATGCAGAGGAAATCACCAAGAAGGTAAAAGTCAAAGCTCTTGATTTTGATGGAAGAAGAAATCTCGATTTCCTCAGTTCGCTTGACTCAATGGAAGAATACTTTAATTCAACATGTCAAGTGCATACAAAAGTGAAGTTGGTTAGACACGCAAATATATTGGGGTATAGTGTTGATAAGAAACTAACAAGAAGAATTAAATGCTAGAGAAGATGCATATGCGACAAACACTAATACTATGCTTGAAATAATGCAAACTGTAATTAATTCAACTTTTGGAAGAAATGCGATACTTGCTCTTTACGTAAGTAGACCCATCATTTCAAAATCTGCAAGTTGCAAAAGTTATTGTAGCTGATGGTAGACATATTAAAGATAACGCTAGAGATATACCAAGAAAGTTTAAACTTTTGATGGAAGAAGATATCTATATTTCTTCCTCAGTTGGCTCAACTCAATAAAATAATATTTAACCAGTATGACATGTTAAATGCACAAAGGATTAGATTTGCCAAAAAATAAACTTGGTTGAGCTTGCAAAAATATGATGGGTTAATGTTGATGAGACGAGAATCGAAATTGAAACATAGGATGAGATGAAAGTCACTCTTGTAAAAAGTATTTGTCTTTCAACTACTTTGGCAAGTTCTGTAACCAACTTATACTTTAATTCAAAAAATATTAGTAACTGAAATTATACAAATTTGAAGAGTACAAAAATTTAATTGAGTTAGTAAAATATGATAGCCAAGTAGCATCTCTACTCAAGGCAGGACTAAGGGCTGAAATTGAAAGAAAATTACTTTGATAATTTTAATGTCTCAAACTCAAGATTTACACACGTCAAAACGCTGCATATTCATGATAAATCTCACAAATATACAAGGCTTATTAATCAGATAAACTTTAACAATCTCATACCAAAATTCCCACGACACAAATCTCACATTCAAGATCTCAAAAAAAAAAACAATGGTTTATGAACTTGAGTCCATAAATAACCAATACTTCATAATTAGCTGTTGCCATGTAAAGAAAAATAATATATATACTTTTGCAAATACAAATACTCAAAATAGATTTTCCTAACTCATAATCCACACTTTTTTTCATAAAATCTCCTTGAAAATCTAACTCAAAGCATATACATTTGTACATCCAAAATTTAACAAAACACACATCTATATATAAGGAAATTTGATCTCTGATATAAACTAAGGGTACACTTAATCCAGTGGCATGAGTCACAAAATCACAAAGAGCATGCTACTCTGTTACTGGCAGCATGGTGTCAAAATTAGTTCTTGTCATACTAACATGTTAACATGACCAATGTTAACTCCATTGGGAGAGTCATAATGCATAATATTTAACTCTCACCAGCAAAATCACGAATTTCACATTGTAATATCGGGGAGCTATAGTTTTTTTTACTATTCATAAACTGATTTCTTGTTGCTTATTCAAAATAATTTGAAATCTTAACACACTAGTTTCCATAATATATAAAAGTACAAGAACGTTCTGGTCATATAGTTCCCAAATTGAAGAAAAATATAATAATCCACAAAATCATAGTAGGTCAAATTCTCGAAATAATTAAATTCTAGCAAGTAGATAAAGTAATAATTCTATTTCTTGAGACGAAATTTAATGAAGTATAAAATATTTATATATTGCATGGCAAACTTTTCAAGTCATCAAGTAAATATTCATATAGTAGTTGAATTTGAAATCCATAATTGACAATATAAACACGTAAATAAATACACATACTTATGTATTACTCAAAACTAAAAAATACCACTAAAAAGTAGAAATTACTTACCTCACTAACAATTCCAACCCAATTAAAAAAAGTAATTTCATGAAACCAAATTATAACCTCAAATCACATAATTTTCTTATTCATCAAAACAAATCCAAATCTATACTCACTAACGTTATGGACCCAACCTTACTAATTCGAACCTTTGATTGGTCGTTAACCTAATTTTTATGGGTATGTCAAAATTTTCTCAAATATACTATTTTTAAATTTAATTTAAACAAACTAGAAAATTAAATTGAAGTACAAAACATATACCATAGTATACATCTTCTTTCAAAATATTAAGAGCATGTCAAAATATATTTTCTGTAATTTTTTGAAGTTTTGAAACCTTAATAACTGAGCACAGTCTCCATGAAAATAACATTATAAAATTCATAAATTTTTTTTCAAAAATATATTAATTTGAGAAAATTATGAAAAATAAATAAAAATATATAACATAATATTTTGAATACATCTAAAAGTTTTAGCTTTAAATTCATTTAGGAAGATCAGAGGTGAATCACACTTTCTGATACCTGAGAGTAGGATTCGTCTCTGGATATAGAAAATTTTTTCAGGTTAGGATGTTCAAACCCTCAACTTTATGTAATGATATCTCTCAATCTCGAATGAACCAAAACGTGATCATAGCACCATTAGAAAGCATGTTTTAGTGGTTATCAGATCCATCCAAGAATCAACCCAAACGGTGGCCAAAAAATGTACTTTTCCAGCGCTACCAATTTGATCAAAAATCATGTGAGAACCCAGGACCTACTGTCTTTAAATTCAAATTTCTCTCATGAAAAAACTCGGTTTAACACGGATGGGAAGTTTTCATCGAAAGCTTCCCAGTAATATATAATTTGCTATATAAATTTACTAAAATGGAGTTATTTTAAAAAACTAAAGAAACTGTTTGACGATTATGAAAAAAATCACCCAACTCCCACATATTATCTACTAATATAAGAAAATTAGTTAATACTAACCTCAATTTTAAATTCCTATTAATAAATCTCTTCCTCCTTTGTGTCTGTCATGAGCCTCTTTAGGAAAATAAATTTAGGGTTTAGGAGTTTAATATTTATAGTAGTTTATTAAAGGGTAGTTTAGGTAAACTCTAATACCTTAAATAATTAATTATTATCAATTTTGTATTTATTTGTTCATTATTATTTTATTTATAATATTTTTTTTTTGTTGCCAGTCATTAAAATAACATCCTGCAAAAATATAGCTCAAATTTACCATGTCTTTTTTTTTTTTAAATAAAAGAGAAACACTATTTACAAAAATACTAAAGGGATACCGCCCGTATACAAAATAGTTACATATCTATCAAGTGGTCAATGACTAAACCAATGTTATCCCAATCATGAACATCATGACCTAACAAGATAAACCTAAAAGTATGAAACCATCTATTTCTAATGTTTATGAAATTAAATTCGATATCCTCAAAAACTCTAGCGTTTCTTTCCTTCTACACAACCCAAAAAATGGCGAGTGAAATAAGGAATAGATATTTTTTCTTTTTACAATACCCTGCCCACGCCCACAATTCCCCACTTACATTCTCAGCCATGACCCAACTCAAACCCAGCAGCCCAAAAACCATAGACCAAATGTTGTTAATTTCTGGACATTTCAGCAATAAATGGTAACACGATTCCTCATCAGCTTTACAAAAGTAACATCTATTCACAATGGTGTTTCCTTTTCTCTTTAACATGTCAACAGTCAAAATATTGTCTTGCGCTGCCTCCCAAGCAAAAAAACCACTCTAGGTGGCGCGTTTGTCTTCCAAATTAAATTGAAAGGTGCAGTCATGTTCGGTATCCCTTCCTTCTTGCATAATCTGTAATAGAATGACTTAACTAAGAAGCCTCTGTTAATATCCAGCTTCCAGAGCCTCACATCATGATTTTTAGTCAGTCTAATATTGTCCAAACAGAGCAGTAGATTACTGTACTCATCAATCTCCCAATCTTGCAGATTTCTCTTAACCTGAACACTTTAGGTTCTATCACCTCCCACAGATCCGAAAGCCTCCTCCACCTTAGCCTCATTATCACTCACAATCACAACAATTCTAGGAAACCGATCTTTTAATTTTAAACCCACTCATCATGCCAGAGCTTATCTCTTCCCCATTCCTAGCCTTCCAACCCACGCAGTTCATAAACTCTTTGCTGCCATCCCTCATTCTTCTCCAAAGACTCTAATCATGCAGTTTGAATCTCCCCCTCCTACCCCTCTCCTTCTCCCAATCACCACCTTCCTCCACAACCACTTTCCATGAAGAGCACTGTTTATTTCTTTAATGGATTTTAAATCCAATACTCTCTCTCACACACTTTTCTTAACCTACTCCCATCTAACAATATGATATTTTCTATCCTCCTCTTCATCTCTCCAAAGAAACCTACATTGGACCTTTTCAAGTTTTGTAGCAATGCTTGCCAGGATGGTTAAAGTGGAGAGATAATATATTGATAGATGAGCAAGAGTACTCTTAATCAAAGTGAGTCTTCCTCCTTTTAATAGGTAGTTTCTCTTCCACCCCGCCAGCCTCCTATGAACAATTCTACAATAGGATCCTACGTCTTGACATCTTTATATTTGGCTCCAAGTGGTAACCCTAAGTATTTGATTAGTAGTGTTGATACTTTGCACCCCAAAACACTAGCCAATCTCCACTCATCCCCCCTATTACCAATTCTAATCAATTCAGTCCTCCCCATATTAATCTTAAGACCAAACACCATCTACAAACAAAGTCGAATACACTTCAAGTATAACAAGGCACGAATACTCGGCTCACAGAAAATAAGTGCATCATCTGCAAAAAATAAATAAGACACCCTCACCCTTGACTCCTCACTCCCCACCACAACACCATTCAACAATCTAAACTCCCCAGCCCTAACCATCAATCTGCTGAAAGCTTCCATAACCGTAATAAAAAGTAGAGGCGATAAAGGGTCACCTTGACAGAGACTTCTTGAAGCCTTAAAGAATTTAGACAGGTCCCCATTAACCAAAACAACAAAAGACGTAGTAGAAATGCAATTCATAACCCATTTTCTCCATTTGTTCCGAAACCCCATCCTTTCCA